AAATTTATTGACATTTACAACATATTTCAGTTTCGAATATGTATTCATTCGGCTGGCATGTCATCCTACGATTTATGGGTTCACTAACAAAATTGCACTTTTGGAAGCATATCGTTAGATGAAAAACAAAACCACATTAAATGCATTTATGAGAAGAAGAAAAATTGTAAAAGTAGCCATTAATCAGAACAGTGTCACTCCAAATAAGTTTTTTGCAGTCACCATTACAGAGGATTTATCATTTGATTGAAATTGGCTTTTCACAACACAACTGCTTTTGGTTATGTGATTTTTCATTTAAGCTAACGACATATGTATAAACCAAAAACAAAAAAATCACCATTTAAATGTAAATCAAATAAGGATGACAAAACACTTTTTACATACCTAAAAATACACAATTGTATTATTTGTTGTTTATAAAATAATTTACTTATTTTATTGTATTTCTATTTTTACACTTTTGCAAAAATTGAAATTAAGTACAGGAATGATGAATTGTTTAGAATGACAAAAATATGTATGTACATGTGTATATGTAACAGATTATGTGAATAAAAGTGCTTTTGTTATAGGCTCCTATCTGGGCACTATTGGCCAATTATGGACCTATTATGGAAATTAAAAATATTTGTAATGAATTTGATGCCATTACATATGATATTTATTAATTTTAGGAACGTCCTGTTTTGAACGGACATTTCCATTTAATCTCATATGATATATTTTACAATAAAATAATCTAATCGTTGGACTTCCTTTGTTGCGGAATATATTTTGTAATTCTGAAAAAAAAAATTAAATTAAAAATTCTTTAATATTTACATACATATATTCAAACTTAATTTTCATATCCTTTTAAATTTAAAAAAGCTTTGAAGGCCATCAAATATTTTATCCACCGACATGCATACATTGAAAAAATAAAAATATTTGCTTATGTTTGTCTGCTTCTAAAGCTGATTCTTTGTAAAACATGGTTTCTATTTATTATATTCATAAAATGCAACTCAACTTTTCTTTACATCTCATTACTTTGATACAAAGCAATACCAAGCCATGGAAAAATATTTTACAAAGTCAGCGTCTTTTTCTGACAATACAAAAAAGATAAATATGAACGAATGAAAAGACTAAAATGGCAAATACTGCTTAAGCATGCGATTCCTAACAATCTTTTTCAACTTCAATTTTTTAATTAGAATAAAAATTTTATAAAAAAAACTTAATTTATTTTCTAAATAGAAAGATATATAAAACGAATTTAAAATTCCGAGAAACTTGGATATCCTTCGATTACTTTTTGAAATCCAAAAAACGTATTATACCGAAAATATTTTTTTTAATATTTAACTCAAAAATTAAAAGAAAATATTGTTTGTTCTTCAACCCTACGTCATTTTTATAAGATAATTTTTCACTTTTAAATATACGCATTATTTTCTTTCGTTAAGGATTCCGTTCTTTTTTGTCATACAAAGCTGTATGCTACGGAAGGATGCATAATGCGTACCACTGATTGAAACCAACAGGATGTTCAAGATAAAAGAACATAAAAGAAATACAGTCTTTTCATGTCATGAGTTTTAAATTTAGAAGGTTTACCAACAATAAGGCATTTCAATTTTAATCATGATTAAGAAATTATTTGCTTGAAGTTTGAAGAAAAAATTATTTACTCAAAAAAAGAAAATATGTATATATTTCACTTGAAAATACTTATCGCTCAATTTCTATAAGATTAGCATAAACCAAGAACTTTGTTTCGAGTAAAACTGCTTTACCCCAATTTTCTGACAGTTTTCTTACAAAACTTAAATGTATTATTCGGATTGATTTTTTGAAAAACCGAATTATTTTTATAATATTTTTAATTTGAAGTGTGTTAATACTCAGTATTGTAGTCTGAAAATACCTTTAAGGCATTTTTTCATTTTCATGCATATATTTTCTTTATAAAAAGTATGCGTGTCCTTATTATAACTACGCCTACTTATTTAAAACATTCTGATCTTATATTGCCTTTTATTGTACTCAAGAATACCAAAATTAGCACTAACATAAGAAGTGGGCGTGGACATGATATAACCGCCCTTTTTTTGTGAGGTTGTTCTAATTCTTATTGTGAACCTAAATACTTAATATAAAGTTCATACTTCTAAAATTAGACATTTGTCGTACCAGAATATACGAACTGTGACACTATGCATAGCCAGTGTTTTTAAAAAGATATCAATAGAGGAATACATGAAACTTGCTATCTCTAGCGCGCGCACAAGGTTTTCATGGACACACAGACAGATGGATGGACGGACATAATTTAATCGGCTCAGTCAATAATTCTGAGCCTAAAATTTTTGGGTGTTATACTAAAGTTAATACCTATTTACTTTTAAACAATATGTAAATAACTTCGAATTTACGATTTGAATTTTGAATTTTCGAACATAACTTATTCAGGTCTACACACAGAAAAAAATATGCACATTTTTTTTCTTAACAATCGTTTGCTTAAATTTAATTTCGATTTTTATAAAAATTTTTATTTGGTTTTATACCGAATTTGTTTGATTTTCACGCAGAAGGAAAATATTTTCTAACAAACACTTTATTGAAATAAATTTAATTTTCAGTAAATATTTTTACTGGTTCAATAAATGTTTTTGTTTGAGTTTTATTTATATGTCAGCATATGGAATACAACAATAAAACTAGTTTTGGAATGTACTAAAATGAATTGATATAATTCTTACTTGGTTTATAACATTTAATGTATAAGTGTTTCAGTTTTCACAGTACAAATAATAGTTTCTAGAATGTGAAATAAATTTGTTGTAAGTATATAAGTACTTTTTTCTACAAATTTTAATTTTATAGAATTAGTAAAATTTTTGTTAAAATTCAATATATATTTTTTAACAAAATTTTTATAGATTCAATAAGGAATTTTGCCAAAATACAATAAATAATTTATCTGTTTCAGAAAAAATAATTGCTTGAATTTCAGTACAAATACAAATAATTTGCGTTATTGTTTAAGTAAAATAATTGTTTGGAAATGTTGCGAATATTTATTAATGTTTTTCGTAAATAGTATATTATTTTAATAAGAAAAATCCTGAAATTTTTTCAATAAAGAATTTACGAATTTGAGTACTTGATTTTACGAATTTCGTGATAGGTCCAATTTTAGTTAAAAAAATACTTGGCTTTATGAATTTTTTGTTTGATTTTGAATTTCATTTTTTTCTGTGCAGGAACTGGTTCAAAATTCAATTACAAATTTTGTTAACCACAATAACATAATTCCGAATTTTCGAATTTAATTCAGAATTTTCGAACATAACATTATATAGACATTATGTGTGCTAAATTTCAGTCTATTCGTTCTACAGGAACTGTTAAAGAATTACTAACAAAGTAAGTTAAATAAATACTTGAAAAAATACTAATACCGGCTTAAAAACATCCAGTTTTAACAAAAACTTAAGAAATAAATTAAATTTTCCTATATGACAACACTGGTTTCAGCATAAATAAGTATTTAATTTTTGGGGTTTATATCATTTTATTTAAACTGCCCCTTAACAACAAACGGAATAAATAAAGCGAAAATATTTGTTCAAATGTTGATTGAAGTGCTACAAACAGAATTTGTTACATAGAAAAACATTGAACATACAGTGAATTTTTTTCAATTTATGATGTTTAAAATTTAAAAATGAACTTAGATTTTCTGTTCAAGTCGCCGTTGGCTTGCTAGTACATATTTATATTGTTTACTGTTCTTATAAATTACGAACTGTAAATATGTTTTTTATAAAAAAAGGAACAGGAATATACACATGTATGTATCTATAAATTTTCTCTCAGAAAATAAATATCTACATTAAATGTTGAAAATTAATTCGGAAGTATCAGCTTTATGAAAAAGAAAACTGAAACAAAATCAATGATACATAAAAATATATACTACCAATGTGCATTTAGCAATGTTTATACATTGTAAAATTCTCATTTTAAACAGTTGGCTATTTCTACATCAATACACAGAATACCATTAAGTATGTTACTATATGAGGGTTACGAAGAACCCTTAAACAGATGGGACATTCACAGTTTGTATTCGTTTTTTATTTGAAATATGTGAAGGAAATAGATTTCCATGATCGCATGTAACCATCAAGATCAATATGATATTTTTAAATTCCATTAAAAACTAATTAATTTATTCTATAATAAAAAATAAATTTTACTTAATTTCTTATAAATTTATTTGGACTCATACGCAAGGACTAATATATTTTTACACCCATCATTACAAAGTAGAGGAGTCGAATTCGAAATATTTGTCATATAAAAGTGCATATATTCAAAGTCATTATTAGATTTTTAGCCATGTCCGTCCGTATGTCTGCTTATCTTTTGAATATAAAAAAGAGTAATTTTATTGAAAAAATCGATAAACCTCAAGGAATTAAGAGAGCTCTACAAGAAAATATATATGCTATTTGAAATTATTTACTCTAAAGTTGTAAAGAATATGGGCCCTTAATATTGGTACATATATGACAAGGTTTTGAAAATGGGTATATAAGATTCAGCTTAGTCTAATATAACGCTCTTGCATGTTTTTTTTACTTAAATTCTACATTTATATTATATTGAAAAATGTCTAAGTATGATTTTGGCTGGTTGTGTAAATGTGTTACAGAGTATTATCATCCGTACAATTTTATGTTCAAAACTAAACAATTGTAAAACATAAAAACTATTGATTGTAAAATGCGTTTACTTATATTTAATGGGTGTTTTTGAGAAAAATTATGTATGTTTGTATGTAGTATGGGTGTAAGTCAATGTGTTTTAGTATGACTTTGTTTCATTTTACATCTGATATTTGTACAACAACGATGTAGGATGTCATTTCCGCTTAAAACACAAATTCCATTAACTCTATTCAAGTAGAAATAATACAAATTTCATTCGTTTCATTTCAGCTTTATTGGCAGCTACACTTAGAACGTATCAACGGGCTGGCTGTGATTCAGAACAACTGTCGCTTAGTTGTCCACGCGGTACTAGTATCTCAATTGAATTGGCACAGTATGGCCGAGCAGGAGGTAAGAAATTTGAAAATAATATTATAAACAAATGGTAAACTTCACAAAAATAGAAAAAACAATTAAGACCGTTTATTGGACTATGAAGAATTTTATATACCCATCATAAAAAACTTTTTATATATGCATCTTTTTAACATGAGCATCTTGATTTTTAAACGGTTTACTGACAATTATGTGATTTTCTGTAAGAGGGACCAATTTTTGGATAATTTTTTTTTAAAAAACATTTGCTCTAAAAAAACAACACCTGTGTGGTACTGTTCACTTCTATCGTTTTTCAATGAGATTTTAATTCGAATGTCTACTTTATTTTTGAATATAAAATCAAAAGAAATACAAAAATATGAACAAATATGAATGTTTTTTAAAAATTAATATTAGGGGCTTTTTTTAATCACTGGATTTATTTTGGATTTATTTTATTTCAAGAAAAAAACTATCTTTGGAGGCTGAAATTTAGTTTTGGTCATCATAATCTGAAAATACACTGTATATGCTAATAGAAGGTCAAAGAAAAATTAATTTTAGTGCAACAATGGCGGTTCTGCAGCTAAAAGAAGTAAATCCAAATTGGATTTATTAAATCCAAAAAAATAGTTGGATTTAGCTAATTTCAATATGGCAATGCTTTGTATTCATAGAATAAAACCAAAATAATTTAAAAATGATTTAATTTGTTTTATTTTGCTATTCACCAATAGATGGCAAATATTTTTTAAAATGTGTAAAAATAGGAAAATAAACAAAATTCATGTAACTTAAATATTTCAAACATGATATTTCAGTGCAAATACCAATTTTTGCAACAAATTGTTACAAATTTTATGGAAAATTTACAAATTTAATATTAAATTTTGAAATAACTCCATCTGTCGGCCGCTGCTGACATTGTGATTTGAAATTTGTTTAGCCTCGATTAAAACCTTTTGCTTTATCCACCTGGCGTACAGAGGGAGAACTAAATTTTGGATTTAATAAATCCAATTGTTTAAAAAATGCTGCTATTATATGTCAAAATAAAAGGATAAGAATTATAAAATTGGGAATATTCTATTGTTTGTAAAACTTTTATCTATAACTGTAAATGTGTTTCATCCACTTTAATGCTATGGTATATTCTATTTATTAGAAAAATATAATAATAGCAGCATTTTTTAAACAATTGGATTTATTAAATCCAAAATTTAGTTCTCCCTCTGTACGCCAGGTGGATAAAGCAAAAGGTTTTAATCGAGGCTAAACAAATTTCAAATCACAATGTCAGCAGCGGCCGACAGATGGAGTTATTTCAAAATTGAATATTAAATTTGTAAATTTTCCATAAAATTTGTAACAATTTGTTGCAAAAATTGGTATTTGCACTGAAATATCATGTTTGAAATATTTAAGTTACATGAATTTTGTTTATTTTCCTATTTTTACACATTTTAAAAAATATTTGCCATCTATTGGTGAATAGCAAAATAAAACAAATTAAATCATTTTTAAATTATTTTGGTTTTATTCTATGAATACAAAGCATTGCCATATTGAAATTAGCTAAATCCAACTATTTTTTTGGATTTAATAAATCCAATTTGGATTTACTTCTTTTAGCTGCAGAACCGCCATTGTTGCACTAAAATTAATTTTTCTTTGACCTTCTATTAGCATATACAGTGTATTTTCAGATTATGATGACCAAAACTAAATTTCAGCCTCCAAAGATAGTTTTTTTCTTGAAATAAAATAAATCCAAAATAAATCCAGTGATTAAAAAAAGCCCCTAATGTTGAAAGTTTTAATCAACAATCCAATGATTGATTTATAGCTTAAACTTTTGCTTAAATAATGCACAATGTTTTCTAGTCACGAAAAACTATTTTTTTTATTAATAAATAAAAGGAAAATTTTCTAAATGCACTAAACTTATCTTTATATTATGATTGGTGATTGCGTATAAAAAGCTGCATGTATGCGTGTGTGTATTTATGTATGTATGTATCTTTAACCATATTATATCATCAGACATATTTAGTGAAAGAAAATATTTTACCTATTATGGTCGGCAGTGTAAAGAATTATATAGCGCAACTGTTACAGTAAGTTCAATTCAATACATATCATTATTAGGTCGTATTTAACATGTTTAAAACACGAATATCATTGTTTATAGCATATTTTGTGGCTTTAATTTTAGATTTTGAACTTTTAAACTACTATTTTAGAAGGAATTCTCTTTAACGCCATAGAAAAATACCACTGTATGTAATTTTTTTATCAAGTACTTGAACAAACATATACACACCAATAGTATACACAGATAGTTATACGGTAAACGTACTTCAATTGAATATACTGACCCGCTTTACAGATTTCGTTCATATGATCGCATACTTGTGAGGAAAATTGATGTGAAGTAGAAAGCACATACACCTAAAAATACAATCATTTTGGTACTTCAGTACCTAAATGCGTACACATGTACATGCATTAGCATCATCCAAAATTTTGCGAATAAAAAAAATCAAGACAATTGTTGGTCTTACCATATTACCATATAGCAAAGCTAAAAAGATTGAAACCAAGGAGAGACAAAAAACTAATTTAAATCAAAACTATTATTGTAATAAAACCGACATTTTCTTACAAGTATTATATCCCAACAGCAATAAACACGCTTGAATATAACTGTGCCGCCAGACATTGACTATTAGGTTGCTTTTTAAGACTTTCCGACTTGTGGAAATTACTAATTTGTTGTTACGCCCTTTTGAATTTCATATCAATAGAGTCGGCATTTTTTACAATAGAGTTCTAAAAATTTGCGACAACATGTATTTTCTTATTAACAATGCCAAGAATTTAGTATATATACCTACTAATAAAAATAGGAGTATAAAGGAATATGAAATACAGTATTGTTAAGTTATTTAAATAATTATAAAATTTGCAAATTTGCAAAAAATAATAGTAGTCTGTAATTGTCGGTAACACTTATGGTTCTTGAATCATGAATAATATTAACTAAAAAATAGATAAACTTTTTTGTTTTTTACCTATATACTTAAATTTGTTTTAAGTAATTAGAATTTATTCTGCAAATTTAGCTCCGGTAGGTTAGTGGTTAGTGTTCTAGTCTCGTAGACCGGAGGTGGTGGGTTCGATTCCCATCTGAGGCACTGGTTAAGGAGCGCACAACAGGCCCGATAGAGGCCTAGGTGTATTTCTTCGGATTTGATGTATATACATCCTCCTTTCAAACTAACTAACTAGCCTCCTATATCCCCTCTAAATGAATCATAATATTTCTATCAAATTGTATGATGACTGCTCCATAATTAACCCTACAATTCTGCTAGCAAAAAAATTAATATATAATATAGTCAGTAAATCGAGTAAATATAGGGGTATAAAGGTAAAATCTGAAATACATACCAACATGATTTATTCTGAAATAATTAAACTCTATCAAATTCTGTAGTTTTTCTGTTTATAATTGAAGCTTATTAAATTACTTATTAGATTTATAAGATTTATTATATTTTGTCAGTAACTAAAGTTAGGATTTTACAGAACAGCTCAATCGTTTCTCGTTATTATAAATATACGGGATGGTTAACAAGCTTTATTATATCCTTTATCTTTAACATTTAACTACACTATAAAATATTAACTTTAGTTAAAATAATAGGCCAACACTTAATTTTTAATTTGTTAATTGATTTATTTTAATGATATAATAAAACAAACAAAAAATACAAATTTTACAACTTATTTCTTTGAATCAATCTAATATGTATACATACATTGGAACGTATGTGCTTGTATTTTAGTATATATTTATGTACATTAGTGTGGCCCCAAAGTGGAAGTTGCTGATGTTCCCACCGAAAAAGAAAATGTAGTTTATTCTAAGATACCATTTCTCAAAATGTTTGTCCTGACGTCAATATTTGGTGAGCTGGATCAAAGGATAAAAAGGTCATTTTTTAAGGTTTTTATGATTTTTATCATATTTCTTGCAAATGAACCATATGAATGATCTTTGGGAGACCATTTCAATGACGTAACACAATTTTTTATACAACTCCAAATTATTTCAAATGTCATAATTTTTCGGAAAATTTTTAAATTTTTCAAATTTTTACATAGAATTATTTAATGTAATTAATTTTAAATTATTAAACATTATAAACCTGATTTAAATATTTTAAATCATATTTTCTCTCCGGTATTGTGCTAGCTATATATGTATGTATATCTAACGTACATAATATGTACGTACATCCGTTTAGCGCATTTTCATAACCTTTACATTGTTATATAACACTTTATAGTTTCATTCTATTATAGATCATATTTTTCAGTTAATAACGGTTTGTATGTTGTTGTTTACATTATTATTACATTATTACATGGCGTACATGGGGTCTAAAAATTCAAATAAATTTCGATGTAGATTAAATTTTGGAAAACCGGAAAAACCGTTTTCGTACATTTTATTGAGGATTATATTAATTCATCTATGTTAAAATGTAAAAAAATCTGAAAATTTCCTGAAAAATTTGAAAATTTCGATTACTTTTGCTGTTACACAAAAATTTCAGATATGCAATTTCAAGCGTCTCTCAAGGACCTTACTAATGCTATCAATATTTCATATCTTTCTATTGGAATATATATTAAAAAATTACAAAAACCTCAAAAAAGGACCTTTTTATCCTTTGATCCAGCTCACCAAATATTGACGACAGAAGAAAATGTTTGAGAAACGGTATCTTAGAATCAATTAAACTTTAATTTTAGTTGGGAACATTAACACCGTATTTTTCCCCCATACAAACGGGGTCACCCTAATGTACATACGTACTGAATTTGAACTTTCATAAATGTAATACCAATAAAGTTTGTCTTGCATTCGTGCCAATAGTATTTCATACATTTTGTTTTGTATTACCAACGCATGTTTGTCAGTCTTCTATATACCAATTTTGTTTGTTTGTCTATTCTTGTGCTTTTTACAGATCTCACCGACCACAGTCTTTGTCCGCCAATATCCCCAGAAGATTTAACTACTACAGGCAGTAGTAGCAGCGGTGGAATCAGCAGTTCTAATACTGATGGCAGTAGTGTTGGTATTATTGGTAGCAGCGGCAGTACCGATGTCATACATAGTGGAACACAAATCGAAGTTAAGCCTCCGGAACTGTGTACTGTAAGCGGATTACAGGTAAGCAACATAATTGAAAATACCTTCATGTGAAATTTGTTTCACAAAAAATCGAAAAAATAAGAAATCGTAAAATAAAATGAAAGATATCCCACTCGTTTCATTAAATGGATGATATTCTTTCTATACAAGTGAACACACAAGCATTCAATAGATAGAATTCGTTTTCTAAATATTGACTTTATGTATGAGGAAATGTACAAACATATACACTTACAAACCTATAAAACACACACACACACATCTAAAGTGTTTGGTATATAAGTACATTTTGTACATAGTTACACATACAAACAATGTTTGAATGAGTGTTGGCCTTATCCTTTTTAATACAATGATAGCAATGGCGATGACGACGTCGACATCGTTTGTATTTGTTGATTTGTATTATCAATGTAGAGCAAAACTGTAGATAACACTAGGTACAAAATAAATTGAACACTCACAGTTAAACACTTGTATGTACTCATACTATACAAATGCTAAACAAAACAAGTAAGAAATTATAGCCGGTTACGTCCGACTATGGGAACTATAAGTGTATTTCAACAAAATAAAATAGGATATTAGATCAACAAAAAACCGATTTATGCCAAATTATTAACAAATTCTATATTGTAATTTTTATGATTTCTAAAATCGCAGTCGTGTCTCGATTTACTTCCCTATGTCTTAATCGACTCATGTACCGATTGATATTTTTAAGTTTTAGTACCATTTTTTTTTAAGTGACAAACATCAGCACTAGCATACTGTATTTGTATATTAAATAGACAGACACAGCTATACAATTTTCTTTGCGGAAGTGTAGGTGTATGTGTGTAAGATTGTGCAACAGTATGTGTTAGTTGTTCTGGTATGCTGCAAGTATGTAAGTAGAATGGAATATTAGAAACGTGTATATATCCCCATCATATTGTATCCATACAAATCCGTGTGTATACAATGTGTGTTTCTAATGATACGATTGAAACTAATACATTTGATTTTCTATTAAAGAGTACTTTCTACCCGTTCGTGTTCCCATTTAGAATACTCGTGCACATATATTTGCATATTCGGTTTATGCTTTTGCAGAAAATTTGAATCTTAAGTGATTTAGATTATTACATTTCAATGATTTCGATAAATGTTTCGTACATTGTACTGCTACGCTTAGACATTCAAATACTATGTTTGAGAGATTTTCACATTAAGTAAAATCCAAGATTTTTATTTAGTTCCTTTTTGCATTGCTTTTTATCTTTTAGGATTTTGTGTCTCATCTTTAATCAAATATGCACATACAATTTTGCACATCATTGTACAGAAAATCTTTAAAGAATTTCTATTTATTTCTAATATTGTGTGCGTAGATTTGTTTCAAGTTTTTTAAATCTTTTTCTATTTTACTTAAGTGTCTAAACACTTACTTCTTTTATAACTAATGCTCCAGTTAAGAGGAAAAAATGGGTAAAAAATCTTTTTTGCATTTCCAGATTAAGATTTCTATCAAAAAATTACTTCATTATTTTTCAAAACTATGCCATAATTATTTTACGTAAAGAAATACATATTTACTAATTTGTGTAGAATTTCATCTGTATTTATTCGAATAATATAATATAATTTTATTTTTTTATTTGTTTATTTATTGATATCATTTTACAATAACTCATGCTGGTTTTCTATCGAATACTGTATTTATTGTCTATTGACATAGAAACGATTAATTTTAACTTTTGCTTAATTCATTTTTTCCAAAGTTATTTCGATACAGTTAGTAAATCAAATGACGTATAAGCAATATTATGATATTTTTTAATTTTATATAAATCATACGTCATGTTGCGTTTTCATTTGTAGGAATTTTATTACTGTGCATTTTATTTTATTGAAAATGAAAATTTTACTATGTAAAAATTTATGAATACATCGTTACCATTAGAAAATTTTTATTTCAATTGAGATTTGAGGATTTTGTTTTAATAAAGTTTTTGAAGCCCATAAATTTTATTTCACAAGCAAGTATATTTTGAAAAAATATGCAACATATGTATGTACATACATATTCAAAAATAAAAATATTTAATAACTACAAAGTAAAGTATAAAGTAAGAAATAAAAAGATACGTCGGTTAGTATTTGTACTTATATACATATGTTTATGCATATTTACTTAATTGCAAAAGAAATCTTAGTTCAAATTATTTTAGCATAAAAGACACCCAGAGAAAAAAAATCTAATTACTTTCAAAAGAATTACATTTATCACCCCTTCAAAAGTAGCACTAAGTGTTTTTTTAGCATCTGTGGAAATGATGTTTATTGACTTCCAAAAAAGCGAAAACAGTTAAATTTTTTTAAAACTGAGGTTATTTTTTTTTTTTGTACTGTTTTTTTAATTACCAAAAATGTTATTTTGGAATTTATTTATGTTAATGTTATTCAAATCAAATAAGTTGTATTCTATAATATTGCAATGTTGCTTTCAAATAACTTTCAAAAAGAATATAAAAATACTTCTTGAGAATGAAGTAGTGAATTTGGAATCAATTAGAAAGAACATTCCTCCTAGGCCTTTTTCAGCACTTCTGTTAAATAAATTCTACTTCTTTTTCGCTTCTTTAGAAATTCATTTTTTTGCTGGGCATCAAAATTAAAAAATTAATTTTTAAGAAAAATGTATTTAATAACATTTTACAGTTTCTTTGTAAACATTTACCGTCTTATTCATAAACAACATTTTGTTTTATAAAAGATTTATAAAACAAAAATCATGTTCTATTCATACTATTTATTACAAAATTCATTGCATTTCATTTCTATGTACATATTTTGTAGTAAAATAACGTAATCTGAGTTATGACATTCTCGCAATAAGTAAACGATTAGTATCTATATACTATGTAGAAAATTATATAACTATGGAAATTGTCAAATACGTTTGAAGGAAATCTAAAAACGCTGAAAACGCGGTGTTATCATTATGTATCTATTTTTTCAAGTGTTAAAATCACTGTTTTACGGTGAAAATAAAATAATAAATTCTTTTGTGTAAAATATTATTACATTTTGTTTCATTCATATAAATGTCCGTTAAACTTTTTTTAGAATAATTGTCATTGGCTAAAAAACAATTAAACACACCAGTGAACACTTTCACAATAAAATAAAACACTTAAATTGTCATAAAAATCATTTCATAAAATAATAAAATGTTGCAACATGTTCAGGTTCTAAAACCTGGTAGGTGGTTGGTGGCAACATACTTTATGTCTAAATACATACTTATTCTACATGTTGGTTCTGTAACAATTACATAAATATTTAGATGGTATATTTAAGATTAAGAAACTCATAAAATTAACTTCTCTGAAATGTTTACCATGCCTGGTTACAGATATGAAATCTAAATTTGTTTTCATAAGAAAACTTTTTTTTAATTTAAATAAATATTAATTTTTCTTTTTATTTTAAATATACTTAACAAACATGAACATATATGTATGTGTGTGCATATTATGTATACATATGTACACACAAATAATACATGTGTATATGTATAAATATTATTATGTATATCTATACAGAACAATTGGTTAATTTTTCTCAAAATATTTAAATGCGAAAATCTTTTAGCCTTGACTTTATACATGCATATGTATGTATATGCACGAGTACTGTTGTATTGCTTAGGGCTTTGTATGTGTATTATTTACAGATTTTAACTGAACAGTTTTTATGAAAAAGTAAACAATGTTCTACTTTCTGGATTTCTCTACACAGAATTTTTCGTTCCCCAACAAAACGTGTGTACATATACTTATGTTAACAATCACTATCGGGTGATAGCCATACACACCATTGTTAACCAATTTTTCGAGCTTAGGAGCTATGTCCAATTAGAAACATATCATAAATTCATTTTTAGAATATTTTCCATAAGTTGGTCATATTGGAACAACTGACGTTGTTAAATCGGAAGTGATTTTGAGTAAAACAGTTTACATAAATGTTTTTTACTTATTAGGATTTAAAAATATATAACCATTAGAAACGAACAATTTTGTGAAATTTCCTGTTATTTAATCACTTATTCCTTATCCAAAAAACCTCATCAATAATTTCTCAAATTGATTAAGGCAGTTTTTAAAATTCCATTAACACCTTTTACGCATTTTTTATAGATATTGCGCTAACCTAAATAGACATTTAAAGGATGTCCGGTAAATTTCCTCAAAATTTTAGAGAGCAGGAAATATGAATCATTTTCATTTAATACATTGTCTACCCGTATAAAATCAGGATATTTCTTTGCATTTGATCAAGTGGGTAAAGTAAAAACTAAACCAGTACAATTTCCTGCTGGGTTCTAGCACGTGTAAAATTTGTAATACACATGTTTGAATCTTTATCAATGTGTTCATTGTGCATGGAAGCATAGAGGATTGTGGTTTTGATATCACTGACAATAATATAATGATATTGGATTTAGAAATACAAAATGAAAGGAAAATATTTTTTAATAAATATTTAAGAATCCATATCTTTAATACAATAGTGTTAGAATTAGTTTTTTTATACTCTACTTTATATTTTCTTTTTCATTTTTTAGTACACATTGTTGCAAACTGTTGTCGATGCCTGCCAAAAGAAACGACACTGTAAATTCTCTGCCAACTCAAAGCCTTTAGCGAGTGGAGATCCCTGTGCTGGAATAAGGAAATTTGTTGAGATTGCATATAAATGTCGTCCATGTAAGTATTTATGAATTTTTACTTTATTGCAAACAATGAAAATATGAATAGCTTTGGTTAAATTTTGGTTATTTATTATTCGTATTATTTGAAATTTAATAAAAAAGAAATAAAAGAAGCGAAAAAAAACAAATAAGAAAATACATATAGTATGTATGTTACTTCCGAATGTATAATAGCCTACACTTTATGGGACTTGACGAAATTAAAAAAGTTGTATTATTCACCCAATTTTAAACTAAAAGTCGTTTTTTACGAATAGTTGATAAGTAAAAATTTAGTTTAATTAAATATAAGTAGTTTTGTTAATATCTATATTTGAAGGGCTTATTGCAGTAACGTGGTATGCCATAAAATAAAAATATTGAGAAAAACGATTTTAAAGTTTTGAAAAATACTTTAAAATTATATGAAACCTGTACAAGTAGGCCTTATATTTTTCGCCATATTAAATAAATATGTTCAAATTTAATGAAAATGGGTAGGTGTAGCCAAGATATATGGTAATGCAATTAGCACATAAAATCAGTTTTCGATATCGAATGACTTATCATGTTACTTTTTGATAATAAAATTAAAATCCGTTATAATAATTTTACAACCCAGGAAAAAATGTAGAACTTGTTCTAAAAACAACTAGTTCTAGAACGAGTACAAACAGAAACACTTCAGATTCTTAAACAACAACCTTGGAACTAGTGGTGTCGCCATTACATTTGGAACCCATTCCTTGGAACGTTGTTGTGGTTCTTAAATACTTCTAAATAGTTTTCAAAGAACTAGTTCTTTGAAACTAGTTATACATTGCTTCTACACTAGTTCAATGGAACGCATACTAGTTCCGAAACAACTTCTTGGAATCAGTTGAAAAAAATGTCAAAAAATTAAAAATTCATAAAATTTATTTTATTGAAATAGAAAACGCTTTCATATGTAGAACTGGACTATAAGGAATTAAAGAGATTCCTAATTGCTAATTGCATTTTACTGGAAGAATGGAAAGTGAGCTGAAGATTGTAGGTGCGGCAGAATGATCACAAATTGTTTTAAACATGTATGTAGTAGTACGTTTTCTTAATAAAATTGGTATAAGAATAATAATTCCTCAACAGTTTCTCAGTTCTGCTCTTACTCTTAACAGTATCGAAAAAAAAAACGCAGGGAAAAAGAACTATTTTAAGTTAAAGCGTATACGTTCTCCAAACTTCCTTAGAACTAGTTCCGAGGGTGACAAATTCGAACAAAAATCTTTGATGAAAGAACTGGTTCCAGAAGCGTTCCGTAGAACGAGTGTCGACACCATAACACTTCCACAGAACCAGTTCCGAAGGTGACAATTTCGAACAAAAATCATTGGTCTCAACGCCAAAGTAGAACGAGTACAGGCTATAATCGTTCTAGAACTAGTTGTGGAACTAATACAATTTTTCCTGGGAAACCAAAAATATTTTTAAACAAAAAAAAAACTAATTAAATTAAATCCACTGCAATGTTCACTTATATATCATATTAGTGAAAAGTAAATTTCCACATAAATGAAGATAGTTAAAATAAAACTAATTTGTAGTTCAATTATTGGAATTTCATTTTAAATATAAATATATATACCTACATAAAACTCACTTTTTCATTTATTTTACTTTATCATCTTAATCCATAGACATTTGGCCAAACACTTTATTCTACACGCAGAGAAAAAACATGGTTCGACATTTTTACTATAACTACGCCATGTTTACTGTAACAATATATTGTTTTCAAAAACATGTAATTGTTATTTTAATTAGATTTTATCAATATTGTAGTTACTGTAAACATTTGCATGTTCAAGGCAATTATAAATTTGAGTATGATTCACTGGAAAATAATTATTTTTAGAACAACTAAATAATGATAACAATGAAAACATATTATGTTATTAACAACCATTTATAACCATTATATGTTATGTTATATAACCATTGTATGTTATGTTGTTATAAATAACCATTATATGTTATGTTGTTATATGTCTGCTGATACAACAACAAAACAACTTTTCCCACACACATTTACTCATACAGATTACTTTTTCGTGTGTGTTTTTTTACGCGACAATAAAATGAATTGAAATAATTCTCATTTGGTTTATAACATTAATCGTATAAGTATTTCAGTTTGTATAAAATAATGTAGTTATGTTTTTGTGAAGCAAATTGAATTTTGCGAATTGTGTTAAGTATTGTAAGTATAATATATTTATATATATTTTTTTACTTTTTTTAGAAACTGTAATTTTACGAATTCAGTAAAATTTATTTTGATTTCGATACATTGGATCGTAATATGATCCATCATGTATAACAATATTATGATAAATAGAAAAAATATTATGATAAAATATTTCCACGGTATATAATCATAATATGATATTTTAAAATTGTTACAATAACGATAATATGTTTAGACTACAACCATAATTTTAACCATAATATGTTGCTCTTAGAACATGGTTACCACAACCATGTTTTTTCTCTGCGTGTATGAATTTATTTTTATATTAAAATAAGCTTTGGCCCTTTTATATTCATCTAGATAGATAGATACATATTTATTTATGTAATATGTATTCTACACCCCCACCAATTTACATCGAAAAAGAAAAACAAAAAGTTGAAACAGTGTACATAATGCTAATCCTTTGTGAATATTATTTTATAGTTGTTGGCATCTGGGGGTTGTTCAAATCATTTCATTAGAGAAATTGCTTTCTATATATTTTTTTTGTTTCATCTTTAAACTAAATTAGAAATGTATAAATTCATGTACACATTTACAAATACACATCGGCAAATTTACCATAAAACAGACATGCACAAGAACTAAAGGATGTCTGCATTATCCAGTCTAGATGGAGGAGCATTAACCTCTAATTAGTTACAACTCATTGATTCTACTCAGTCTTGTGTATAATAAAAATAACAACAAAAACTAAAACAAAAATAAGAGTATAGAAAAATTAAGTCATCAAATTATTTTGAATATTTTTTCATGTTTGTATCATTATTAGTTTTAATCTTAGTTAAAAGAGTAATAATCTTTGAAAATCGATTTTAAGTTAACTATTATCATTTCTAGGGGTATTGCTTTATGAGATAAGTTAACTACTACACTTATTAGTAAATAGTACGTATAACATTTAAAACACATCAGTGTTATCGAAACCATAAAGTGAGAGAAGTAGAGTTAAAATATTGCGATATGTTTGTTATTTGTAATTATGTATGGGAAATATAGTTAATTTGAATAAATTGCGAAATATAAAATCTATTTCTGTCACGAATACAAATCATCCTAAATTGGCGAAAACTTTTTCCAAAAACCGAATTTTTTATTGACGTACCCTCTGCCATTTATGTGTAATATTTGAGGGAAAATAATACGAAAATACACAAGACACGTTGATACTAGAGGGTTGTGAATTGGATAATTGTATAAGTAGTGAAAAGTGTTTTTTAGTTTTTCAACATTATTATTATTAGATTTTTGTCAATTCTAAAACAAGTAAGAAAGTATAGTCGGGCATGACCCTACACCAGTTATATATATTAAATGTAATTTATTTTTCATAATAAAGCATTTATCTTCTATTACCTTGTTCCAATACATTTAAGCAATTTATGGATGAAAAACTAATTTTCTGAAAGAGTCTTTATATGGGGGCTAGGGGCAAATATGGACCAAACCCGATAAAATTTTGTGAATATATTTATATTTACATCTGTTGGCTTCGTCCTTGGGTCGAAAAAAGAGTGTGCCAAATTTCATCCAAATATCTTGAAAATTGCGACCTGTACCTTGCGCACAAGGTTTATATGGACAGCCAGCCAGACGGACATAGCTTAATCGACTCAGAAAGCGATTCTAAGCCGATTAGTATACTTTAAGTTGGGTATAGGATGAATATTTTTGTATGTTACAAACATCAGCACAAACCCAATATACCCTCTCCACTAAAGTGGTGTAGGGTATAATTAAACCGAGACCCAAACCACCAGTCTTAAAGCATATGTAAGAAAGAAATTATCTGAAATATACATAATTGCTTAATCCTTGTGTAGCACTTCATTGCTCTATTTTATTTCAGAAATTTTTAGATCGATCTTTACGACAACTTCACCCTAAATATTTGAAAATTTATTTTGTAATGTGGGAAACTTGAGAACTTTCAACTTTCGTTTCCTAATTTTCATCTTAATTCAATGTCTTAAAACAACAAACTAATTACAAATTGATTGACAAAATCAAAAAATCTTGTAGAAAAAAATTGTAATTCGATGATATTCCATAAGCATTTTGAATTAATAGAGATAGATTAAAGATGTCTAAAACTGAAGGAAGGCATTTTTGTTTTGTAACACTAAAATTATTCTTTTAGTTTCTATGGAACTGATGATTAATAACTTCCAAAGAAGTGATTATAATTCTATTATCCATAACGAAAGCTGCATTGTTTGTGTTTTGTTAATATAAAAAACATTTCATTTATTAAAAATATTAAAAGTTTTTCAAATATATACTTCTATTCTCAACAAGAACCGCGTTTTGAGCCATTTAAATAGCAGAAACTAGAAAAAAATTACATTTCTATGGTTACACAGGGAAACAAAGCATGGGCAGCAGTTGTGGCTGTAAAAATATTTCTTTGCTTTTTTGTTCATAAGTTTTTTCTTGTTCTTGTACATATTTCAAGTAAAGTCCTTAAGTGTTCTTATCTAAACAGTGTAAAAGTAGATAATTCCTGAGTAATTAACTGCATTTTGCTTCTTTTTTTTATTGCTTACCTTTTTTGGCCAGTGAGCTGACCTTTTTTCGTACTTTTTTTGTTGCTCACTATTGGAGTTTTGGCCAAGGAGGTAAGACCTAAAGAACTAATAAACACAAAAAAAAACAAATTTTGTATAAAAAATAATATTCAAAAACGTAGGAAAAAATTAAGTAGTGGCAACTAAATAGAAGAC